TGGCATGCTAAGTGATGCTAGGTGGTTGAAATCCCTCGCTTTCTTATTTATTAACAACTTTCATAGCCCTAAGCAGTTAAACTTTTAAGTCTTTCATTCTGCCACTTCCCAGAAGTCTATTGAGAAGAATCAAAAAAATTATCTTTTCCAAGTTCTCTTACAACTTTGGTCGTTGTGTTCATAGCTTAGGGTTGATTATGAGATTGTGATTATAAGACAAAAGTAAGTGGCATCCAAATTAAGTATGTATTGAGAATAGCGTGGGTTTGGTATTTTAAACATTGATACTCAACATCATTTTAATGACTTCACGTCACGCAAAGTTCCTGACATTTACTGGTGTTTTGAAAATTCAAAGAGTCACTCTTCAAAGCTTAATCCAGTGAGTATCCTCGAGAATATTAGGGGAGACGTGCTATTTCCGAAGAAACTAACCCAAGTTAATATTGACTGAAACGCTATGTATGGATAGTCAGGTCAAAATTAATGCAAATCAGTTCTTGAATAGGCACAAAGAAAAGACTTTTTAGCCCGAATCGTTCACAGCTAAAAGCTAAAACTGGTAGAAACCGAATGCGCTAAATCTATTTTGCACAAATCACTGAAAATGGTTTACCAGCATTGAAAATAAAGATTTAAAAACCTCGTGCGACCAAGTTCGAAGATGATTAGGCAGCAATTGCGACGATTGAGAGTTAATTGATTGCAAGGATCAGGAATTAGAGGATAGAAGAACAATAAAAGTGGACAAATCAGCACAATTCACAGCAGTTAAGAAAGTTTAAATGAGTTTGAATTTGAATAAAAACGATTGGCGATTATAAAGAATTATTAGGTTGGTGCAAAAATAATGGCCGTTTTGAATTCTGAATTTTCACTTTGACGTGCTATAACCTTTTGAAAAATCCACATTTCCAAATGCGGTGACAATCTTCTGAAGCAGCAAACCTTCTGCAACACAGCGCACACTTACTTATACTCACATCACGAACGGGCAGAAAAATATGGATTGAAAAACAAAAAAGGTTCTTTTGCTAGACATAACTTCCTTCAAAGTTTGTTAGTATAAATGATAAGTAGCCTACCTTGTAGCCACAAGCCATTAGTAGAAAACACAATAAAAAGAGCTCGGACAAAAAATTTGCGAAAAATATAATGAAAAAAATTTAAATTTAAATTTTCTCACTTATTTCAGCATTTCAGTATGCCTGAATGTCCCGAATATAGAATTTTCTGATTTTCTACCTACTGAATAGCGCTGGATGTTTTTGCAAAAAAGTGCCACTAGGATGCCCTAGCCCTACGCTTACAGAATTGAACAAAGCTTCGGCGAACTTCTTCAGAAGAAAATTATGGCTCATAAAATGACCGTACACCTATCCATGTTTAAGCGCCATATCTTAGTCTTCAAAAAATGCAGTTAAGTATGCATAATGTAGACAATTTCTATTACATACAATAGCTGAATTTTCGAAGAAGTGCCATTGATACGGGCTTCGAATTGTGCCAAAAAGTGGATGCAATGAAATTCTGACAGGATGAGGTTATTTGAAGCTCAGTAACTTTATAACAGATGAGGATGGAAGCCCCTTTCAAAAAACATCTAGATAGAGCATGAACAGCTTCTTGATAGTGCACTAAATCTTTCTTAAAGAAGAAGTATTGATGAAAAAAGTTGCCCTGAAAAAAGGCTTGGAAAATCGGCCATTAATTTTGCACCAACCTAATAAATTGATCAAAAGGCGGCGAATGAATAAATGCGCGCATTCAAGTGCCTGGATATAACTAGATTAAACGATCAATATATGAAAGAGATAAGAATTTGTAATTTTTCAAACTATCAGTGTCGAGTGTTTCTTCTAAGCAGAATGTGCGAGCCCTCCCGCTCTCGTTTGTCTGGCAACACTTCCGTCCTTTCGCTTCGGCTTCCTTCTCATAGAAAAGGCTCAGCTCAATCTGACACACATACGGCAAAACATATGGTGGCTGAAGATTTGTAAACAGAGAAGTTGGTTCGAGGTTTTGCAAAAAATAGTGGAAACTTGAGGAAGCAGACGAGAGAAAATTGAAGATTTCCTTTAGATAAGAGGACTACTCTTTGAAGTGCTATAAAGCCCTTCTTATATCTACTTCAATTACAGTAAACCCTTAAATGTGGTTGAAGAGCTTTTCAATAATGATGTGAAAGAAATGAGGAAAGCTGTGAGATTTGGACTAATGCGAAAGGCCTAGCCTTTTATACACCCTTTATCTAACAAACGTTGTCACAATGAGCTCTCAAGGCTGTTCAAATAGAGAACTTTCAGACATCGCACATCATCTTTTGGCTTTTTTCTCTTTTGCAACGCGTGACAGATGTCCAGTTCCTTCCTGATGAAACACACTGTTCCTGTCATCGAAATGTCTGAGGAAAGAGTCGTTGTCGTTTTGAGGTCATGGATCAGATGCAGAAGTGTTTTCATCGGTAAAACTCATCGTTTGAGTGATTAAGACAAATAGCCCGGGGCAAATACTACATATGACCGTCGCTAAAACTTGCTCTAAGAGCCTCATTGCTTTGCACGAAGCTCATTGGGGCCAAAGACTATGTTTTTACTCCCAAATTCTCGTCGTTGATAGTGATAGAGCAAATAGCTTAATCTCGTTTATTTGAGCATCTTGTGATTTAAGACGTTAATGGAAAGGCGGTGGCAGACAAAAGCAATAGACAATATTAGAAAAGCTTACTAAAGCAGCACAAATATGTATGTAAAATCTAGTTACCTATCTGAATCTAGGGTCAGGGCAAGGGCGACAATTTATCGTGCTAAAATTTGAGTTGAAAAACAACGAGCTAATGAAAAAGGTTTTTCGGTAGTCGCCCTTGGCAGATGGGATTCGTAGCCCACAAAGCCATGTTTTCGGGCTTTGAGAAGTTTGTTAATATACCAGCAGGTGCGACAGAAGTAATGTAGATTACGTTTAACATTTGACTTTTCCAGCTTCTTATGTTCAGCAACTTGCGGAAAAACCGCGTCTTTCAATCGTTCCCCTACTTGAAATAATGCTGCAATAGTTTCACGCTAGATTTGAACCGCTGGAACAAGCCAATCTGTAGCAAGAACACAACAATCATTAGGGCGTTCAGGTAAATCTACTAAATTTTCTGATGAAGTCTTTTAAAGAGTTTAGTTGTTCCACGATGGGACCCGCTTGTTCGCAAGCGGAAAGATGAATGAGGCGTCACAAGTGCCTGCTCGTACCCGACCATCGGCAAGGATGCAGCAGGTGGTACAGGTGAACACGGTGTATTCAGTGGTGTTTTTTTCAGTTAGCTTTTCATGGTGTGAAAAGCTTCTGATAATGTGTCATGTTATTCGGGGTTTTGTAGTGCTTATTAGTTCAACTCTTCATCATTTCCAAAGTCATTGCCGATATATAGCGTATAGACATTCATTACACTTCTTCACTTGGCAAATTGTTGGTAGATTGTTTTTGAAGCCAAAGGCTTCATAGGGGATAAGTTAGTTTGCTGCGGTAGTAGATCAGATTGTATCTGAGAGCTGAACAGAAGATGTAATAAAGTACGAAATAATAATAGCAACGACGACGTAAGTAGAATGCACAAATTCTTGATATAATACAGTCTGTGAAATCATGTAGAAATTCTGAGACAGAGCAGAGTGAATGATGCCGTCAATTGATGTATAGTTGAAAAGTTGAGCAAGTGCCATCGTATGACCGCTCATTAATAAAACGAAATTATTCCAATGAAAATTGAAAGAACTCTCAATCACAGAGATACAGATGATGTGGAGCATAGATTAATCAGATTGTGAAGGCTATAATTGCAAAGATAATCTTCAATGTTACTGTAACAGCGGTATTGCATAGATCGTCCTCACAAGTGAAACACTGACCAACACCACCTTGCTCGGCACAAACAGTTGCCGAAGCCTCACATCTCGATCCCCAGTCACCGCATGCTCGAACGGTGAAATTTGTAAATGCTGCAAATAAGTGGTTTGTATCTATCGATTTCTCTGAAAACAGCCAATAAAGCGTTGTTCCACGTCAAAACTGAAAAAAAACACATAAAGCCACATTTATTAACGTATTGGTACCTTTTAGCAGACGCAATAGGATGGATGCGCCCGAACGGAATCAACAATGATTGACTTGAGAATTCACAAATTCTTTCATTTTTTGATCGGGGACAAACTGAGATATTCTAGATTTCTATGTAGCCGCTAGTACGCATACAGAGTATGTAAGCGTATTATCTTTTCTCAAAAATGCGCATACATTTTTTTAATCGATATCCCTTTTGTTTTAGTGTCTCTCACAAAGACCACGGTGGCGAAGAGCCGACTTCTACCAGCATCGTACCCATGGATACTCACTGTAAGTATTACAGCACGAAGTTCCAGCACATCGAACTGTGGATAACCCGCTACACCAAGTTTTCCAATTGTTGAGTCTGTGATGCCTTGTTTTCAGCAGCAAACTTCAAACTTTTATGAAGACTGTAGAGCTAATTCAAGGGAGTCTTTTGATAGCTTTACAAAATCGAATCTTCTGAAATTAAAATCCCTGAGAGAGTCCAAGATTGCATCGCAAATTTGCCTGTACGTCTACCACTGATAAATGATATCCACCAAGTTTGGCGATACGAATTTATTCTAACTTACTATCCTTGAAAGATATGGAAATTTGCCGTATTAAAAATTGTTTTTCTAAAATTCGGTTGCCATTTCCTATAATCTTCTGGCTCGCAGCGCGAAAAGAGTTATGTCTTTACCTTTCTAGGTGTTTTTCCTTCCAATTTTCATCCTATGTTTGATACAAAGACGTATTCGTGTATAAACTATTTACTTGCACTTAGTAACTTACATTCCTTGTACATCATACCAAGAAATTTGTGTATAGCTGGATTGGTCAAAGACAATTTTTGAGCATCGTTGATTGTCTTTCTTGTTGATTCTTTCATCGATGATCATATTCGGAACCACTTTTTAGCTCTTCTTTGACTATCTTCAATCCTTCTAATTCAACTCACCTAGTTCAACTTTGGAAAAGTGTGCAGCACCGCTTTTTTACGTGATTTCATAAACTTACAAAATTAAGACCGTCATGCAAAATGGAAAAGAAACTCAGAAGTGCAAATTGCTAGTTAGCGGAAAAGACGGAGAGAAATGTGGGAAATGGGAAATCAGTGATGATGATCACGAAGCCTTACAATGATTGCCTGCAGAAAGTAGGTTCTGCGGGAGATGTGCTACATGCATGAATAGAATAATTATTTTATACAATGCTTAAAAAGGAAAGAAAAACCAATAATCATGCGGGGAGCAGAAGAAAAAACCAAAAACAAAATAACATAAAAATTAGACATAATCAAAGGTTGCAGTTGTCGGTATCACATCTTGCACATGAGCCTGAGCCACCGCTGAATTTGCATATGGCTGGACCAGCTAAGCAGCCCACATTCTTGTTGGCGCACGTCCGTAAAACAAATGGAGCTAAATGAGAGGATAGTTCACGACACGAAAGTAAAACTTAGGAGCAAATAGCGATAGAAAGGCAAATAGAAACTGCAGTCTTGAAAAAACTGCGAAATGTTGACGACATTAGAAGAGGATGACTCAACTTCCTTACATTTCTCAAAACATCTCTTCTAATAGCCGCGTTCTCCACATGAGAAATAGCTATACATGAAGATACTCGTTGCGAATTCGTCATTTCAAATTCTATGTTTGGCATTTGCAAAAATGATAGCTTGGAGGGAGTCATATAGGTCTCCAGCTTTCGGTGCTTCTCTTAAGTACGAGAACATGGGTATAAGCCAAAAGGCTTCAGCGACGGATCATAATGCTAGACTACGCGCAACGTTGAACAGTTACGGCATTTCCACTCATGATTGCGATTGCTCCACCCTCTGGCAGCTTTTGCTAAAGCAAAAATGGTCTGTGCCTCAACAAGATTCCCACTGGCACCACCGCTCGCAAGTTCAGCTCATTCTTTAGCTTCTTTTGTTAAGCTTAGCAAATACAAGGAGCTTACCCCGCGTCAAAGTGTCAACGACCGAAAAGCAGCAAACTGGGTATGGCACCTATGGCTGTTGGGCACTATCATGCCAAAAGACCGTCACACCCGACCCCTCTAATCTATGGGCAAAACATCCATTCTTTTACTGACTAATCAAGGATCCCAAATCGCAGTGGAAACCTGGCCCGAAATGCATATTATTAAATGCGTCTTGGTGAGCTGATTTCAGATCTACCTTTTCTGCTGTGGGATTCTCTGAAAGAAGTTATGAGCATTTGAAAGTCTAATTATGGCAAACGCTAAGTAGCACCCTCCAACTAGTAGTTGTTCAGAAGCACGTATTTATGTTTCTGAATGTGCGCATTCCTTGCAGTCAGCACACACCATACCTTGCCTTGGGAGACGGTCAAGAGGCGCGATTTTTCTGCTGTCACAAACTTAAATTCCATTTGTACTACGCGAAGTTTCAAAAAAAAACCAGACAAAGTCTGTTAGCTCACTAGATGTTCGAAGTTACTATCTTCTAAGTTTCACGGCTTTTGATGCAAAAACGAAATATTAAGGAATTGCCATTATTTGTTTTCATGATTTTTGGCCTCCAATGCTTGTTTTGGATCTTTTTTAAGACGATAAGATCAGAAACCCTATGCAACGATCTTGTATAACTTCTCAGGAATTTAAAAGGCCTCTAGAACATTATTAAACTCTAAAAATGTGCAGTATGATGTCCAGCTGGAAATAAAAAATGCGCCTTTTGACATACACCCGCCTTGCCTTCCATACGCTTTCAAGTTTGATCTGCACATCATGCATTGAAACTTTAATGAATTGCACTTTTATCCGCTCATAACTTCTTCCAGAGACCGAGCAGATATAAAAAGTAGATTTGAAATCAGTTCATCAAGAAAATCTATCAATATGCATTTCATTCCAGTTTGCCTCTGCGACATAGATCCTTCCCTTTTGAGACATAATTCTCAAATCGCGAAACAAAATTAATGTTTCGCAATGAGTCTTTCCATATACATCTAATGTTAGAGCGCCGAAAGTGAAGGGTAAAATAAACCGACATTTTATCATCAGCTAATATGACCGATTACAACAGTAGCAAGCATCAAAAAGTTCTACATTGAAGTCAATGACGCATTATTTCAAACGCTGTATCTTGTAGAAAAAATTGGTGGTTCTCTGAATTTTCACCTCATGGAGCTCTATAGCGTGATTTGATGCGAAAACATTAAACTTGACGTAAATATTGAACAGCTGTTACATTCGATGCATTAATGTGTACGTGCACTCGTCATTTGAACCGTGAGTATACAATGATTTGATTTCTTAAATTACGTCACAAGAATCTTTTAGAGAACACACAAAAACACAGCTTTCGAACCGTTTTTTTTGCAGCGGACAATTCAGTTGTTGTGATTGCAGTAAACAAAGTTTTTAAAGACATGCGTTACTAATGGGATGGAAGAGTATTCAACTTACATTTTCCTCCTTCACACGCAAATTTTTGGCATACGTATTTGGTATTGACGCCTGTATCACATAACCGTGATTGGTAATTCTCTTTCGAACCGGAATAACATCGCCGTGCTGCTTCTAAAATAGGGATATTAAGCCTCGATGCTTTATTACCATTTTTTTTTTATCTTGCAGAGGCTGATTCTTTGAGCTTCACATCCAGGATGTCAAAATTAGAACCGTGCTTTAGTATTTAGCCAACAGTGCCAGACCAGAGGTGGGGCCGACCAGCCCTCCGAGCACAGTTCGCAAAATTCCAAAAGAGGTTTACAGTAGCTGTAAAATCATGCTCATAACTCAGAAGACATAGTTACACCTTTGCGAAATCAAAGACTTTACAAAAAACTTTCAAGGGAGGCAACTACACCTTACACCTCCTCTTTTCGGGATTGACTCGTAGAGCTTGAAAAGCATATCGGAAATTTAGAAAATCCCCTTTTTCTCCCTCTCCCTCCTCCAAAATTCTGGGATCGCCATTAGAGGTAAATAAAATCGCTTCTTCGTAAGTTATTGATAGTGGTTGAAAACTCAAACACTTTACATAGGCAAAATAAGTTTGTAGCATCTATCAACATCTACATTGGTGAGAAGCTACATGACAAATTGTTTGAAATTGCTTTTAAAAAACTCTCACCTGAAAGCGCAATCAAAATTAACAAAGCGATAAGTGTTCGGCAAACCATAGTGAATAATCTGAAAATGAAAAAAGATCAAGCACAGAAAGTCAGAGCTTCTAATTAGGTACCAGCGTACGCAGAAGCAATGAAGGAAAGTGGCGATTGATGACCGAAAAGCAAACTAACAGCTGACATCGTCTGCCATAACAATACGATTTGGTAAAAACATGGGTCATCGATTGTGTTCCAAAGTGATCGAAGAAACAATGAACAACATCTCCACGTTGAAGAAATGAGCATGTGTAAGTTTCGGTGGGCTGAAAATGGCTCACACCCCTTGAAAAGTTCTTGCGTACCAAAAATTGAAAAAAAGCTCCCGAAAATTTTTTAGTGCTTTGCAAGAGGGACAGCTTTTTTCCCGGAAGAGGACACTTAAACAAAGTCAATAAACAGGAAATGTCCTAGGAGAAGTAGATTAGGCCCGGTAACCTCAACTGCTTTCGTGAAAGACACCTTGGCTTTATTGTTTTATGAATTGGCACTTTGTCAAAAATGAAATCCTTTGCGCAATGTATTTTGTTGAATGTTATGTCATCCATAACAGTGACAGACAGTATTGTTTATTTTATCACCATCAAATCCTAAAAACAACTGGAAAGATGAAGATAACAGTGAGAGTAATAATGACATCATGGTTGCCTGAGTTGTGTTCGACATAAGCTCTCTTACATATTCTTCTTGTTAATTTAGTTGAAGATACAAGTGAGGGCAAATAACTGTGGACATTTTTTTACTTTTATGCACGTACAGCAAAGCAGGACAACGCGACGTGTTTTGACGAAACTGTTGTTGAACTTTGTAACAATCTCTGTTTTCAACAAAATAGCAAAATATTTCAAACAGGCCGAGAATTGTCGAGAGCCGTACTCGTTTTTTATTTTCTTTTCCATGGTAAAAAACAACAAATATACAGAATGTCCCAAAAAAATGTATCGAACGTTTGATCGTTAATATCTCTCTTCCCAAAAAAACTTTTGCCTTGCTCCGGGTACAGTTTTGTAGAGCTGGCTTCAACTTAGATTTGCATTATAGAACGAATCACCCATCTCTCTTCATTACTGTAGGATTACGGTAGAAACTTGAAACATATGGTGTCAATGTGGAAAAAGCTGCCGTTTCAAAATTTTTCAACAAAATGTGAAAACTTGTGTATTGGGGTTTTTATGGACGCTGAGTTGAATACTCAATCATTCACAAGATTACGAAACTTTCCAAACGGTGTAACCGCACTTTTCAGGAACATTGAAAAAATGGCCGCTACCTCTTATCTGGCATAACTCTTCAATGAAGCATCATAATAAATTGGGAACTTTACAGTTATAAACAGCAACCCTAATTAGCCTAGTGTAAAAGTTTTCAGGCTGTTTTGTATCCTTTCTGGGGCAAAATATGGCCTTTCATTGCTTAAAACCCTCTTTGAAGTTTCTACCGTAATCCTACAGTAATGAAGAGAGATGAGTGATTCGTTCTATGATGCAAATCTAAGTTCAAGCCAGCTCTACAGAATGGTACCTGAAGCAAGGGAAAAGACTCTTCAGAAGAGAGATATTAACGATCAAACGTTCGATACATTTTTTTGGGACACCCTGTATTTCTTAACCCTCAGTCCTTCTTTAAAACATCAAATCTGGCATTGAAGTGTGAGATTTCTCTGATGACGCCTTATATAAGCTTGTTGAATAGTTCAGTATCTGTCAAACAACTTCAAAAGCAGATGTTTTAGCAAGTATGTGTTACCAACGAGTTCTTATGGATCATTTCAGAACTTTAGAGAATCTAGAATAACGATGAAATGTTGAGAGCAAACTTATTGATGATCCAACTGTGGACGTGGTAGAAAGTAGCGCGATAAAATTATCATATAGTTTAGTGAACATTCAAGGGAGTTACAGTATGATCTCGATAATTCTCTAAAAATTACTGAAGAGTGAAGTATAAGAAGTTGAAGGGAGGAGAGAGAGATGGATGCAGTGTAAGCAGGAGCATCACGCAACAATGAGTGATGAACGGATGAAGAGCTACATATATACTTACGATTATTCATACTAAAGGCTCTCCTTATTATACCCAATTATTTGAGAAGTGCAAAGCATGGCTGTTCAAGACCTATGGCACGGGTACGATGGCACCTCACACAGGCCGAAGCTAACACATGCTCGAGACTTGATGAATGAGGTTGTTTATTTTTTCAGAGAACAACCAGTACTTTGCTTGAGGTTGAAAATCATTTTTTATCGTATTTAGTGGAGAACATTTAGAATTTTCTAGTTGAAATACTTCAAGATCAAGCTAAGAGCGAGCAAACAACATTATATATCGCTCACTTCTCCATCGCAACAAAGCAAGCGGTTCTATTGAAGTGTGAAAACAGCTTAGGATATAGTGAATGATTTTTAAAATTTTGCAGCAATGTGGGAGTAGGGGTAGAGGCGAAGAACTTTAGCAGAAGTCCAGATCACTTTCAAGCCAAGGAAATAATACCTGCATGGTTATACCGTGACATTTTTATATGATTGTGACTCAAACTTATATTCGCATGCCAAAATCCTAAAAAATCCGTCTAAAACCTCCCTACCTACAAACCGACACTTTTTACAGAAACCCAAGAACAGAATTTCTTGGGCGAGTCACAATCAGAACTCTATTTACCCGTGAAACGCAATTGCAATCGGTTTGCATAGCGAAAATTGGTTGGCAGCAGAGACTACTATGACATTGGCAACGTGTGGACCGGTTTTTGGTGATTGCGATGCGTGTTAAATAAACAGTGAAAATGATATTTCGACCCCGTGCGACGTTATCATGATGGCAACAGCAGCTGGCAGCTAGTCCTGGATTTAGTTGGGGAATGTGTGCCAGAAGTGTTTGTGACCAGTGGTGACATTACGGAATTTCAGGAGCTAAAAATTTTTCAGGAGCAACCTCTGAAAAAATCGTCCATTTTTATCATAAAAATTATCAAATTATTCAAAATTATGTTAAAAATTATTTTTATTGTGAAAAACCCATAAAAATTAGCTTTCCTCAACCCCTTTTTTTGAAATTTATGTCCGCTTTGAAGCGGCAATAACTTGCTTTGGGCAAGAACTAAAACCGAAAAACTTGAAAAATGCTTGTTACTGCTTCAACAAATAATTTTTTTACCGTCAGGACAGCAATTATGAAAGATTTATATATCTATTCAATTGCTAAAAGAGTCTTGCTCAACTCTCAGACTAGAAAGAAAATTGTTCATGGCTTTTTGGAGAAGTCCACTCATAAGTTAAGTGGGCGCTAAAACCCTGAGTCATAGAGCTAATGATATCGAAACCAAGAATAATGTATGAGTTATGGCTATTAAGATGCAGATTTTATGGAATGACTAACATGAGTGACTCGGATAGAAAAAGTTTTGTGGGAGGTGTGAGTAAGAGGCTATTTAAGAAAAACGCCAATGTCAAAACTTTGCAATTTTTCGGCTCTCTTCAAAAGCATTGAGAAAGGAGAAAGGAACTATGCGATAATTAATAAGTACTTGAAGCAAATGATATACATATGTAGCACAGTGTTTGATGAATCAGGAAAATGCGATAACTCGCAAAGCTCTGGACTTTTGTTATATCCAAAACCTACAAAACAAGCAAAAGAATCGTGTTCAGTGTTGTTCGCTGAATAAACTCAGCTCTGGGACGTTATTCAAATCCTACGATATGTCATTGAAATCGAAAATGGTTTCGAAATTGCTTTAAAAACGCAATAATTTATTTTTGATGGCGTGAAGACTGTGTGATCCTTTCAGTATTCAGATTTTTCCCATGTATTGAGAATGTGATTCCCAAATAAAAATTTAAGAAACAAGATAAGCCTTAACGGAAAATGGGGGGTTATTCAATAGATGCTCAAACCATTGAGATGATTTGCGATGATAATTATCAGAATCATTCAAACAGCGCCTGTTAAAGAATTTAGAGCTCACGGTAAGTATAGGATATGTTTCATACAATAGTATATCAGAACTCAATTTTTTCATCCAATGAATATCAACACCCTGATTAGCAATAAGAAAAATCACTACGAATGCTTCCAAAATAATTTAATAATCGAATTTTCAACAGGAGTAACTTTTCCAACAGAAAAAAAGATCATGATTAGTACAGAAGTGCGCAGAGTCCGTAAAGCTATAAGGATTAGCGCCTAGCCCTAGAAACCCCCACCCACTATCGGATTACATCGTCCAATTACAAACGTTGCTAAAGACCCTCTTAAGATAGCTATCACATTGCAGAAAGCGGAATTATTGATGGACTCACCAGTCAGAAAGCTTAGACCTCATGAACTATACAATTTTTGGGCAAAAGATCTTTTTTATGCAGCGAATCACTTAATGATAAAAATTTTGCCATAGCTTAGTTTTGAATCTTCATGAAGGATTGCGTTTGGAGCTGAGGAAAGACCAAATTCTTGTTAATGAAAATTCATACTAAAGCGGGTCCTCAATAGAAAGAATGGCATCGTTCGATAAAACGTTGAAACGTTCATTGTAACTGCTGCGTGGAGGCGAGAACTAGATTTCGGTTGTAATGGTGAACCCTAAAGGTGAAAAAGGCTCTGGAAAGTGTAGTCACTGATAATTTTGGCACGTATTTACTCAGACGTAAAACAATAAAACTCTAGCCAGTGAAAACTGGTTTGGAGGTTATTGCGAACTTTTTGATGATGTCCAACGAGTTCGAATGCTTGAAGGTGTACAATTTCAACTCTGAAAGAAAACTTTCCGCGTCTTCTTTTCTGCTCATTCCATCGTGATTGAATTAACATAATTTTAACCCTTTGAATCACTAAGAATAGTAAGCTTTCCTTCATGACTTTTGAAGCCTACACAAAGAATTTAGACAATTACAACGTTCAAGTGATTATAAATAGTCTATTTATGGCAGAACACACAGAACGCAGTGAACTATATCAAAGTTTCTTCTTCAGATTTTACCACCGTATTGAACCGATCTGACATCTGATCTTCGTGAGGTTTGTGACCAGAGCAGCTATAGTTATACCATCCATTTTTATTGTGTAAGCATTGCGCTTCCAAATTAGACCTAATAATGAATAAAAGTCTTTAAGTGTGCGAATTCAAATCATTTTGCCTTAGATGTTACCACGAAAAACTACGTATCTACTTACTTTTCCACAGAAAAATGATGCACAAACTCAGCTTACGAAAAAGTCGCAATGAAAATTCAAATAAGAATGCGCAAAAGTGAGAAGTTAGCAAACAAAAATTGAAAGAAAGTAGCAAAATAAGAATAGTCTACTGTGCTGAGGATACAGAATTCTCAGAGTAAACTTTGCAGAAGATGGCAGTAGAAAATCTAAAATTCACTAATCAAGTTGTTATCGATTGATTACCAGTGATTATTTCATTACAATCATCAATACATACGACGTGCCTGTATATGTTTATCTAATCTACTCATTCCGAGCCCTTATTATAGACTTGTTGAATTCTATTTTTTGAGCTTCATGGATATTAGCTGAAGATGATGCTTGTTCTCCACTGTTTGTACCAAAAATTGGCAGAAAACAATTCACGAGCATGCTCTGGAGAATATAAAAAAAAATTTGGAACGTCACAACATTCGGTGATTAAGATGTTATCGAACTTTTATTTGAACAAGTACGAATTCGGCAAAAGTTTACAATACTCCTTCTACGGCTGGCAGATGGTGAATCCTGAGATTTATTGTGACAAGTGTAGTGGCAGTGTATTGTACTCGTAATGTTTACAAGCATGGCATACCTATGAAACAGTCAAGCAACTTCGTCCTAAAATAATTTTTGATTACTTGCAGAAATTATCGTGAAAATTGTGAGCCAAAAATCAAGGACCGAATACCGCTCTATGTCATAATAAGCAAGATATCCCCTACCCTCAGACTAAATCCTCCTGTTTTGTTCATGATATGTCGATAGTATAGAAAGATTAGCGAAAAGGCTAAAGTAAATATAACAGCACCGATCGAGAATCCCAAGAAGAATGCAGGCCAAGAAATTTCTAAAAATTTTCCGTGACTTTTAATTATGTACTTTGCAACAAAGATTAGTAGACTTACCCCAATCGATTCCGCCAAGGAAGTTGCTTCCGCTAACATCCATCGTTGATTACACACCATATTTGGGGTTTCTGCGTAAACTTTACAGCGGCGAACATGATCACCGCTATCAACACTCGAATCCTTTCTTTGTAAGATTACGTCAATAAGAATCTAATATTTCAACTTGTTACAAAAATGTTATGAAAATCAACAAACTTGGCTTGACCTGATTTTTCCGGTCAAACGAATTCTGCATCGATTTGAATAAGGAATTTAACCATTTTTTCAAATTCTGTGGTCGCAGATTGCTATCGCTTTTTTATCAAGTCCATTTAAATCTATTCCAAAGCAATTCTTGCAACAAAATTTTTGGCAATTATTTTTCACAAAATCAAAAGTTACCCAGTATCCACGGGTAACTTTTTTTGTGAGAGCCTCAGAGGGGAAGCTAGCCTCTTCGTCAATTTGAATTTTTTTTCAAAATTTCTACCTTTTCGATCAAACCTTCATACAGGGTGTCCCAAAAAGATGTGCACACTGTTTGATTGTTAATAACTTTCTTGCTTTCATGTCTTTTGCCGAGCTTGAGGTACCATTCTGTAGAGCGAGAATAAATTTAGATTTACAGTATGGTGTGACTTACCAGCCGCTTTTCATTACTGTAGGGTTACGGTAGGAATTTCGAGGAGGATTTTCAGCAATGGAAAGCTGTATTTTGCCTCAGAAAAAAGCCAAATAGGCCAGAAACTCTTGAACTGGGTCAATCGTAGTCTCTGATTCTAAATATGGAAACTGTATGTCAGTACAGTGTTCTTTCATGAGTTAATTCAGATTTAGGGTAACAACTGATTTTCCAACGTTCAGCAGAAATGTGATTACGCCATCAAGAAAGCTCAGAAAACTGATAGAAAGTTATGTAGTGAAATCAGCACGCCTGAAAACCTTGCTGCACAATTTTTTAGATTTTTTTGAAATTATTTCATCAAAAGGCTTATCCCACAGTGATGCTGTATGCTGAAAGTTCATACCGTAATCCTACAGTAGCAAAAAGAGACTGGAGTTTCGCTTAATGCCGTAACTAAGTTTATCCTCGCTCTACAAAATGATACTTCAAGCTCGGCAAAAGACATGAAAGCAAGAGAGTTATTAACGATCAAACAGTGTGCACATCTTTTTGGGACACCCTGTATATCACGATATTTTACTCGACCGGAAGTAAATGCCAAAATTTTCTCGTAAATTCCGTTTAAAAGTTTTGTTGTTGAGTTTCACCGGTAATTTTTGCAGCTTTCAAAAATGTGTTCACGCGCAAGAAATAATAAGAAATCGTGAGAGATTACAGAAGCTTCAGTCAGAGGGCTTGACAATTTTTCCTCAAGGATATTCCTTCACTGAGTGACAATATAATTGATCGCTGCAGCGTGTGGATGGAATGGTGTAACTACTACTACACCATACCTTTGATAGTCTAGAGGTAGGGTTTCAAAGTGAAGATTGTTTCTGATATTTGCCCCCCCCCCCCCCATAAAAAGTGAAGGTTTTTTATAAAAAACTCAGAGTAGAAAGCAGATGCAAAACAGGTAACAAACGAAAATCTATAATGAGCTGCAATGAGTTTGAGGCCTCTCATTTGGCAGTCTTTTGTATAAGTTTTCGCCCCAAGGACTAGGCAATCCTCAACAGGAGAAAACGAGGTAGAAATTTTTTTGTAATTGTTTCATAAACAGTCATGTCTCGGAAGTGGTAATTATCAAGAAGAAGATAAACGAGAAAGGAATTAGCTATGAAAACGACAAGCTTTGACCTTATTAAGTCGAAATGCACGTCAAAGCCGATCTATCTTTTGATGGTTCTTTGGATCCTGACTTCCATGTTGTCATTACTATTTTCTGGGACGTTGTCTGTTTTGCGCCCATGATTCTGAGCAATAATCGCTTGATTTCGTAAGAACTCGCTGCAAAACAGCGAAAAAGAACGACGCAAATAAAAACGCAGTTTTACAAGAAAACCCGGCACAATCGAAGAAGTAAGCCCTGCGACGTTGTCTACATTATATACAAAAACAAAATCTGTTGAATGTATGAAAAAAGTGCGTGAAAAGTCAGGCTAGAGACAAAGCAAGAGATTCTTGAAAACAAGGTTTTGCCAGATTTTCCGTTCAAATTTAAAAAATGGGATTACGCGACGTTGTCAGGGTGAAACTAGAGTAAAATTGAGAATAACAAGAGCTCCAACATGATATACACTTTGCTAGAATTGGGTTCAAAACAACGAAGAAAAGAGGTACCAGCACCAAATGCCCCGTGCCCCCGTTTAACACGTTGACGACGAGCCGTCTTTTTGATGTCTGTCCCTGTGGACGAACCTCTTCCAGGCATTTTTACGTCCGGCTACATGTGTGTATGTATGCATCTACGCGTGAGGTACAAAAATACAGGTGGGCGGGGCAGCTCCGCCCCCTTATGGCAAGCTCCGCGCACTTTTCAAAAATGCTGAAAATTGCTCAAAATCAATGAATTCGTGCAAATTCCGGCATTTTTGAAAAGTGGGCGAGGCGACCCCTCCCCTCGTGGCAAGCTCCGCCCACTTGACAAAAGTAGCGGAATTTGCACGATTTCATGATTTTTGTGCAACCGGCTTTTCTGAGAAATGGCCGGGGCTTGCCAAAAGTGGGCGGGGCTTGGTCAAAAGTGGGCGGGGCCGCGGTTGAAGCTGATGAAGCTTCACGAGCCAACCTGGGTCTAAGCTGCGGAAGTCCAGGCGATAAAGGTAATTCCTTGAGGTAATCCGAAAGTAGGTTTTCTAAGTTATCATCTTATATATAAAGTTGAATGTGTGTATGTCTGTATGTACGTATGTGCGGAATATAAATTTTTATTTCTGAACCGATTTGGACCAAACTTGGCACACATATACTTCGTGGCAGGGAGCGTGTCATAGGCTACTTTTCGTTATCGATCGATATCGATTTTATCGATTTTTTGCAAAATTTGAGCTACGGGGCTGGGAGTTGGCACAGGGGGGTAATCGAGCATGCTGATTACTAATATAATAATGACAGGGCCGGGCGGAGCCGGGTTTGCCAGCTAGTTATCTCTATGAGTCAGACAGTATCATTATCATTGTGAGTGAAATTGTGACAATGAGCGTAGCTTATAACGATATCGATGAACTCAACGAAAGCTTCGATGATTTGCTCCTCGATAGCGATGCCGAAACTCCCGATGGTGCGGATGGCGATGACATGGCTCCTGCGTTCCGGACACCGATGAATCCGATTCCGACATCTCCGAAGATGACAATGACCAAGACGCAGAGAACACTTGGATCGACGGAGCTGAAAAGCATGACAGATGGACGTTCACCGAGCACATGTTGGGGCTGATCCAGAGGTGGATGACTGTGAGACGCCGCTCCAGTTTTACGAGTTATTTTTCTCTGAAGAACTCCTCGCCATGGTAGCTGAGCAGACGAACGTATACGGACAGGAAAGACATCATAACTGGAATCACACCGATTCAGATGAATGCGAAAATTCTTTGGCCTTTGTTTGCAGATGTCTCGATGTCCACTTGATAACCAAAGGAACTACTGGTCATTGAAACCTCGAAACTTGGCTAGAAATGGGCATTCAATTGCAGGAGACTTCATGACGAGAGAACGATTCGAAGAGATCCAAAGGCACCCCCACTTTGCCGACAACGCTGCTACTGATAGGACAAACAAACTCTACAAGCTGCAGTCGATTCTGGACTATCTGAATACCCGATTTCAGGCCATGTACAAACCTGATAAAGAGCTATGCATCGACGAATCGATGGTACCCTTCAGAGGCCGCGTTTCATTTGGGCAATACAATGGAACGAAACGTCATAGGTTGGGAATAAAGCTCTTCAAGCTCTGCTCTCGCGCTGGATACACGCAGAAGATCAAGGTTTATGCAGGAAAAGACCCCAAAAGGAAAACTAGTGTAGCAGAGTCTGTAGTGTTAGAGTTAATGGACGGCTTTCTGATGCAGGGACGTTGCCTTTGTATGGATAATTGGTACAGCAGCCTGCAACTTGCTCACAGCCTTCTCAAAGAAGACGGATATGGTAGGAACACTCAGAAGAACTCGAAAGGGCATCCCTCAGATTCTCAGAGACCGAAAGCTGCAGAGAGGTGAATACATACACAAGCAGAACCTGAAAGGAGTGCTGATTATGAAATGGAAAGATAAGAAGGACATTTATATGCTGTCAACCAAGCACGACGCTGAGTGTCATCCGAACGGCAAGCCGTTGGTTGTTGTTGGCTATAATTTGATGAAGGGATTTGTTGACCTCAGTGACCAAATGGCTTCATACACCCCGTTTGTAACCAAGACAGCTAAATGGTAAATCCGGTTGTTCTTTCATCTGCTAACCCAGACTGCTCTGGTCAACGCATGGTTCTTGTATTGCGAAAAGGTGAAGAAGGTCAGGATCAATTACTTCAAAGAGTTGATTGTTGACGAATTGCTGTACAAGAATCCCAACAACATTCAGACTACTACTTCAAGATCTCGCAAGCGAAAGTTGGTGTCTGATCCAGATGCAAAGGCTGAGGACCGACGTTTTTGTTGCGAATGCTACAAATCAATTTCTGCAGCTTCTGGAAGATCAACTGCTAAGCGCCTAGCCACGAGGACGAAAACAAAATGCAGTGCTTGTAACAAATTTTGCTCTTTAGATTGTTTTCAGACTATGCATCATCGTTGATTGTCAAGAAACAACAATAAATGGTGAATATGAGCTTTAGAAACTGATAAATAGTTGGTCAATGCCAATATATGGTGCGGCTGCGTCCAAATTGATGATCTGAAAAAAAATGAAAAGAATTGGACATGTTACAAGTGAGATTCAAGGTGCCGCGCACCATTGCGCGGCGTCGTCCACAGGGAAAGACTGCCTGCCGCGTACCATTGCGCGGCGCTGTCGTCAACGTGTTAAGGTAACGAGGTGGCGCCCAAGGCGCGGGACGCGACCCCGAAGGGCGTTTGACTCTGGTTGTAGATCAAGGTCTCAAAACTCTGCAATTTTATATATCATTCTGATGCCATGACAGACTAGGAGCACTGACATCGTCGCAAGCGTTGAAAATCACTTGTGCCTGAATGCTGCATTTAAGTTCATTGACTCCGAAGCTCTTGCGTTCCAACCCACTGTTACCTGCGGATATAATAAAATAAGAACGATCTCTGTCAACCTTTGATTTAACTGGCTTGGCGCTGGAGGGCTGGCTTTGCGACCTCCTTAACACGTTTCGGACCTCGAAATCGCGCGCGGCGAAAAAAGAGTGTACTTTCAGCCGTTAGCCTACAAAGGGAGCTTATTTCGCAGCCTGTGGGCCACATTCGTAATCAGCATGTCAGATAAGCTCTATATCCAAAGTTCTGAGTGAATTCGAAGTGTTTGAATCTTGTCGCTTGAGAGGGACTTTTGTGCTTTCTTGAAAGATAGGAACAAGAACTCAGATTCTATTAATATTCAAAAGTATCTATGTTGTATACGTACACATCAGTATTAAGATTACGGTTTTCCTCTTTGATATCGGAGCAAAGGAAAGTTGCGACGTCGCACGCGTCGTTCGCGTCGCCGCACTTCATTGCAACTGTTGTTCGATTTGTGCTCATATCACCTAAACAAATATCGGCGGCACAACTCTACAGAGTCATTTAAAAAGTAGGAGCTTAGACCTTTGACTTAACAACTTTAGACTGAAAGGAAACCTCCTGCAAACGCCAGAAAGATCCTTCAAAGCAGCGTGCTGCACCATGTGCGGCACCGGTCCCAAACGTGTTGAGGTCCCCAGCACCCGCGACGCAATCTGCTCTCTGATCATTACCTAGCCTCAAGTAGGTCACGAAAGAGTCGCCCTCCAGCCGCCGAGTCAGTTGTATCAAGGGGTACCTCTTCCTGCTACGTACATTATAAACTGTTTTAAATAGCATGCGTTAAGGCACATCATATGCGACAAAGCGTCGTCTCGACGTGTACCTGCGCGGGACCCCCGAGTGAGATAGCCTGTACATATGTAATTACTGTTAATACTCAACACCTGTTATGATGCTCTGAGCAGCGTAGAAAGTCTTCTATAGCTGTTGCTTGGGATCGGGCCATATAAATTTCCACAAACAGTGGTGGGCCACTATTATTAGTACTTTAGGGCACTAGCTTTTTTGAATCCATCTTTTTCATCTGGACTTGCTATGATCTAATTGGGGACTTTATTTGGCAAATCATGTTGAACTGTGTCAGCTTTGTCACTTCTATTCAGCAGCGAAAGAAATGCTAAATTGTCACTAAACATTCAAAGTGACCACTTCAATCCAGTCAAATTAGAGTATTTGCCATCGTCTTTTTGTCGCGGCAAAGCGCAAACATTCTGCCACCTACCGCTTAACATTATACCTGTCATAAACTTCCTCAAGACTAGTCATTCCTGAGTCATTTCCCGGCCGGCAAACACTCAGAACCGCGGCCTCAGTTGGGATTTGACTAACTAATTTGTAAAACTAGCTGTAGTTTGGCGAATGCTTTCGAAGCTTGCTGCCCTACATTCGTTGGGGAGGGGGAGGGGAAGAGGAGATGCGAGGGACGCTTATAGGACGCTTGCTCGACCGCAAGCGGCAAACGCGGTCTACCCTCTGTATCATCAAGAGATGGGGGAACTTTTACGGTTAAGGTCTGGCGTGACCGCTCGCAATCATTTTCAAACAGCAAGCGTGGGAAAGGCCGAGCCTCAATCGCTAATGATGAAGAGAAAATGATTAGAGAACATGCTATCAGAAGTGCAAAGTCCAGGCGAGAAGGGCGCGCGGGACCCGAGCTGCACAAGCCCGAGCCACAATCACTTCCAGTGACACAGAGGACACGCAGTGTACGCACACGGAGGTAGATAGATTGCGTTGCATACGTCGCCGGAGCACAGCGCAATTCTGGCCCAACCGTCAGAGCTTTGCGCCACATGCGGAAGAGAGTACATTATTGACACAGTGTATATGTCGACAGGAATCAGCGAAGCCGTAGAAAAGATTGGTCAATCACTTGGTTTATTGGCAGTTCAAACTATAATTGGAAAATTGCACAAAGAAGGATATGAGGATGATGGCCCCTCTTTGCATGCTGAAGCTGCGGGTCCCGGCTGATAAACTCGCTGTCCGTACACATTTCCTCTGCAAGGAGCCGTTCAATGCAGTTTGCGACAATGCGTGTCGGTTTATTTTACCCTAGGAAAATTCGCGCGCCCGCTCTGAATCTCACGCCAAATGTGGGCGTAGTGATCTGATATGACATGAGACGCCAGAAGACGTGGCACGCGTCTTAGCAGAGCTGACGTGCGAATTTCCTCATACTAAAGTGAATGACCCTCCGCTCTCATTTAGTAAGTCCGACTCGAGCGGCTCGAGCCCCCAACTCTGCATCGCGTTCGCAGACGGGTCATCTGATCATTTTGTCACCAGGGCGGTATCTATCAATCTTATATATAAAGCTGAATGTCTGTTTGTCTGTTTGTCTGTCTGTCTATCTCTGTCTGTCTGTACAGGGCTTAATAAAACGCAGTGTCGCTTGCATCCATCTCCACTCCCGCGCTGGACTTTGCATCTCTTCCGCGAACATGCACTCTAATCACTTTCAATCGATTGAGGCTCCGCTTCTCCCACGCTCGCCCTGGGAAGGTGACCAGAGAGCATGTTCGCGGAAGCTACGCAGAGTCCTGCGCGGATGCTGATGCAAGCGACACTGCGTTTGATAAGCCCTGCATATAGGCTGTATCAGCCAGCATCGGTCCCGCGCCAGTATGCCTTGCGACGACGCACTCGCATGCGACGTGCCTCAGCGCATAGCAGAGTTCGCACGCGTCACACCGCACCGTCGCAAGTTGCCGCGAGCGCGACGTCGCATGACCGATGCTGGTTGGTACAGCCTATATCTGTCTGTATGTACGTATGTTCCGAATAGAAAATTTTATTTCTGAACCGATCAGAACCAAACTAGGCACGCATACACATCGGGGCGGGACGGGTGTCGTAGGATGCTTTTCGTTGTCGATCGATATCAATTTTATCGGATTCTATCGATTTTTTGTAAAGTTTAACCTGCGGGTTGGGATTGGCACAGGAGGGGGGGGGGGAGGGGAACGAGCATGCTGATTACGAATACAGTATTAGTTTTTGAAATTTCTTACTTTTATCGATTTCATCAATTTTTTGCAACGTTCGACCTACGGGGCTGTTGCACAGTGGGGTAAGTGAGCATGCTGATTGCTAACAAGTGGGAATGGGGAACTGGCATGTAGGAGTGGGCACAGGAGAAGTTGTACAGAGATAGAGACCGGACATTCATCATAGTGTTTTGAAGGGCCGGGCGGAGCCGGGTAAGCCAGCTAGTGCTTTATAATACGCGCAAAGCTGTGTTTTGTTTCGTATTAAAAATACCTAAAAATGAAAAAAAAGGAAAAAAACCCCTGGTGTGGAATATGCAGTTTTTCATTCATTCAACGAGCACAGAGTGCTAGCTCTCGCTGTATCCTCGCGGTCTTGGTTGGACCTCTTCCGCTGGCGCGCTGCCAAATGGAGGTGCCTTCTTTATGAGTGCTTATAGGCCGTGTTTGTATTGCCCTTGGCTTCGCCTGACAAGGAAGAATGTATGCGCAGGCTTTGAGCAGTAGATGGACTTGAAACAAAGTATACAAACTGTTGTCTGACAACATGAGCATTTTTTAAAATACATACTTGAATATCTGATGCCAAGTATATAATCTCAGTCAGTTGTTCTGGTCGCGCTTATTATAGTCGTGGGGATAAGGGTTGTACCACAACGGTCATGGTACAGTCGAGTAGTTTTCCCGCTTAATATAGTGTGCTTGCACAGAAGGTGAAATGCGGTGAAATTTGCGCGTAAACAATTAGCCACGCCAGTACTGCGGGCATCTAGCGCGCGCAATTAGCCGGCGTCACAGTCGAAGCTATTTCCTCACGCGCAAATTTTACCGCATTTCACCTTCTGTGCAAGCACACTATATTGAGCAGGAAATCTACTCTGTACCAACTTGCAAGGAGATTCATAACATCCTTGGATTTAAAGATCATTGCAAGGCAGCAAGCGGTAAGGGGTGCTGAGCCGCAAACGCTGCTTGATTACTAGATTGTTCATGTTTCTTGAATCAAAAGGCTATATGACCTAAATACCCCTCACAACCTTCAATTTCCTCCAAATCAGGTACAGGATCTGAAAGCACAATGCTGTTGTCGTCAACCGCTCCTAAGTTACGAATCAGATCATGCTCTTATTGTTATCCTCCAATACCTATATTGAGAATGGGTGTAAGATTTATAACTAGGTATTCTGGTTCAATTCTTGTTGTGATTCATTGAAACACCCAGACCCTGGAACACTCGCAAATATCTTCCATTTTGTCATTCTTCGTAGCTCCAATATTGATGTGCAAGAAGAATCAAAAATCTTGAGAAGTAGCGGCATAATAGATGACGTAAATGATTTATGCTCCTAAAGTTGAAAAATGTGTGGGGTAATCGAGCATGGTGATTACGAGTACAATATAAGTTCCTGAAATCATAAATTATTTTATCGATTTTATCGATTTTTAAAAGCTTGAGCTACGGGGTTGGGAGTTGGCACAGGGAGTAATCGAGCATGCTGATTACGAATACAACATTAATTTTTGAAATTGTTCATTATTTTATTCATCGATTTTTTTGCAAAGTTGAGCTACGGGGCTGGGAATTTGGCACAGAGAAAAAAGTGAGCATATTGATTACTAACATAGCTGGAATAAGATATTGGCATGTAGAAGTGGGCACAGGGAAAGATTGTACAGGGGTAATGAAAACTCTATCATAGTGTTTTGATAGGGCCAAGCGCAGCTGGGTAAACCAGCTAGTCTCCTATATACAGGGGTAATGAAAACTCTATCATAGTGTTTTGATAGGGCCAAGCGCAGCTGGGTAAACCAGCTAGTCTCCTATATAGGAAGGGGTTCCTGGCAGGTAAGAGCCTGTACATGCGCGGGCACTTGCGCCCGCGATACTCTAAGCCAAGCTGCTAATTGGGCCCTAGTTAATAATGGTCCGAACAGCAGGTGGGAGAAGATTGTTAAATGCCTCCACAGACTACGCGGCGTACGCCCAAACCCCTCTGTAAGTCTGCATACGCCGCGCAGTTTGGCTCGATCCCGAGCATGGGACGGGCTTAGAAGCGAGCTTCCCGTTAACGTTAGAATGGTCGTATAACACGTTCGTGAAACCGGCGCAGGGTAGGGGCGAGCGATCGCGCGGAATTCGAGTGACTCGACGAAGCTACTCCAAATGAGGCAGAGGGTAAGAATGCGTTCATACTGATCCGGAACAGTCCCAACACAGCAGTTGTCGATCCGTGTCAGTATGATTGCAGCCTAAGGGTACTTGGCATCATTCTACATCACTGTGTAATTACTTTGGGCTGTAACGGCAGACAACAATCGTTCTCTCTTTGCAATCACCTATCTCGCATCCAATTCTGAACGAGTTTGCCCAGACCATCTGAATTGGTTGATGCAATTATACGAAATGGTTTATATGCTGAATATCTACCTGTGACCAACGCTTCGGTGATTTAGGTCTCCGTTTGAAGTTCGCATTGTACAGCATGTGATAGTTAATGTTTGTCTTTGTGATTTCTTCAAACCAAGCCTCTGCCGCCTAGCGACATCGCTTGAAACTTACTTTATGTTGTACCGAAGCAATTCCAACTCACCCTGCTCACTGCTATCGTTTTACTTCCCAAAAGTTCGTATTCAGTGTTGATAACGTAAAAGTTTTCACCCTCATTAACTTTTGTAAGTTCCGCTTCTGGCGTCCCAGCTACACTACAGGCTGATGCAACGGCGTGTGCGCTCTCCTCCAGTGCACAGTCGTATTTCTGTAAAAATATGTTGGAAACATATCAGTAAATATGAAGAAACCGAAAATAACCATTTCTAATATGTTTGCTGCTTTGGGTATGCGGTGACACCCACATCCGTTGTTGTATAAGCCTTGAGCCGTCGCTTGCCTCAATGTGAGAGTTTGTTCAACAACAGAAAAAACCCAGGAACATGTTTTATATTAGAGACACCGATTTTGTGGTCATGACAGTTGAATGGAAAAGCGGTAAAGGGGAAAGTTGAGGCAGCGTCTTCCGACAGTTATCCTCGAGTTACTTGTTACTTATATGCATATCACACACCATCGCTACAAGACGTCTTGCGTCTTGTTAGTACGCTCATTTTTTGTAGACTGATTGTTTGCTTGTTGCTTGATTTGCGTATTGTCAGATGGTCGCTTTTCTACAGTTTGCTGCTCTAGAAAACGATTTTCTGGAGAATGCCATTAAGTATGTCTATTCCCCCGCGTAGGGTGCAAGCTCACATACTGAGTTACAAATGACTCGACAATATCTTAAGGAGGGGCTTTTATGTCAGAATTGGTTGTGGGGCACTAGATAAAGCATATTCAACCGACGCAGCTACTCATCCGCAGTCAAGAATTTCACTACCAAAATGTTTAGAAAAGTATTTAGGGAATAACCCGCATAGGCTGCACTTTGCGCAGGTTCCTACCGTCCTTCTACTATGTCTCAGAAGTAATGCAAGCTGCACATTAAATACGGTACTAAAGACATATTTGGAGATGAATCTCTTTGCTATGAGTGATTTGATACATTGCCTTTTCCGTTTGAACAGTATCATGAGTTTCAAATCGGTTTCCACGTGAAAGCCCTATGTAATCAATTCGCCTTTACGCCTTCAGGTAATCGTGGCTGCTTGATCAGCACATATTTGTTCAGAGAAATTGAGACGTACGTTCGGACCTCTATGAATTCAAATGATCGACTCGCTCACCACTATATCACTAAATACTAATTACACAGACTTACCTTTTTCTATTATGCATATCCAAAATCAGATCTCGTGCGTCATAGCTCATATGGTAGTTGGTACCGGATGGATGATGACATTGAGTATTTGATGCGTTGTTTAACATCGAACATATCGACAACTTAACACAAACGATGTACTAGAGATCCTATGCTTTGACTCAAATTTCACATAAAAAACTCTCTATTTCATTTTGGGAATTAAGAAATAGATTTCAGATATTCTGAAACGAAATAGTCGAGGAGAAAACAGGTTTCTTCTTTCAAAAACCACGAATTCTAGGCAATCATTATTGCAAAAACGATTACAAACAAAAGTTTAACAAGCATACCGCAATGAATACAAGATATCTTCCAAGAGCCGCCATAGCGATTCTGATTGCTTATGTGGTGCCTTTCCTTCTTTTTTTGCAGATTGGAAAATATTTCGTTGAAGTATTTGCATAAAATTCAGATTCTCTCTTTCTGGAGGGTTGGACACACAAAAACGTGCATGAGAGTTTATTAGCATGCACGATATTCCGCTTTGTTAAGGAAGGGATCCTGCTAAAATCAGCATGTTATACGTGAGAAAAACATTTTTTAAAAACGTCTTCGTCTGTCTTCTCCCATCTCTAAGAAGATCGCTTGATTTGTAAACTGATAGAGAGAGAGAGAAGGAAATTTTGCGTTTTTGACAAGGGAAGGATACTTGATCGTAGTGACGATTGGGTAAGCCGTGTATACCGCGCATACCGTCCCTAGACGGTGATCTCTAAACCGCATTCCATGTCTACTATGGCGTCATTCTGGAGGACTCGTAAAGGATGGTGCAGTGGATAGTGGCTTGGACTGCTGAGCTGGACGTCGTGGGTTCGATTCTTATGGGATGACACTTGTTTTACATTTTTGTAAATTTTAGCAGGCAAGTTGCAGAACCTGTCGACATCAAAAAAGTTGATTTTCACAATATGAAGCAATACATTTACGTTTATTGGCACTGAGCCACCGTCTAAGCTAAAAGCACTCGTTTTTAGCCTTCTTCATCAAGTACTTTACTCAATTTTACATTGAAAAATTTCGAATTCGCGCTTAACATAAAGAGGAGCAGCTAGCCTGTCGAGAATGGCATTTTTGTCGATTTTTTGATGCACAATATATTAGGTTGGCACGAAAGTTCTTGCGTAATTCAAACAAAATTCAATGACTTTTCAAAGACTAGACCTGAATTCACAATCTTGTACGCTAAAAATATTAGAAGTCTTACGCTTCATGATGGATGTTCAAGCGTAAGATTCCGTGAGCTGGACATCAAGAACGAAGCTCTCGAATATGGCGCTTCAAATTTTGCGATTTTGAGTTTGGTGCCAGAAAATCGCAGAGTGCCGCTAGCTAGCCGAAAAAAATCTGTAGAATTTACTTACACAGCTAAAGTCCATACGTTGTTTTAGCAGGCTTTGATCTCGCATGAAAACGCGAAAATAAAAAATTTGTGAAAATTCTCATTTCACAGGGCAAATCCCCTTATCGCTCTAACTTTTCCACAGAAACACAGCTTGCAACCAGAAATTAGACATAGTGCCTATTTAGAGCCTTGTGACGTTTTCTCGATTGTAAAAAAGCGTTTTCGCCGGAAAACTGCGGACATGAGGGGATTTTTTCCGCAACATGACTTATTTCACGAATTTTTTGCTTTTGCTTCACCGTGCAAGATCAAAGCCTTCCAAAGTGACATATGGACTTTTGTTGTGCAAGTAAATTCTACAGATTTTTTTTCGGCTAGCTAGCGGCACTCTGCGATTTTCTGGCACCAAACTCAAAATCGCAAAATTTAAAGCGCCATATTCGAGAGCTTCGTTCTTGATGTCCAGCTCACGGAATCTTATGCTTGAACATCCATCATGAAGTGTAAGTAAGACTTCTAATATTTTTAGCAAACAAGATTGTGAATTTAGGTTTAGTCTTTGAAAAGTTATTGAATTTTGTTTGAATTACGCAAGAACTTTCGTGCCAACCTAATATTAATCAACTGCAATGTTCTGTCCATAACTGTTCATCTCTTACCGAGTGATTTTAGGTTAGATGTTGCTTCAAAGCCAATTTAAATATCTTGCTTCATATTGTAAAACAACAGATGTCGACAAGTTTTGCAACTTGCCTGCTAAAATTTACAAAAATGCGAAACGGGTGGCATCCCATAGGAATCGAACCCACGACGTCCAACTCCGCAGTCCAAGCCATTATCCACTCTCCAAAAATCCTTTATAACTCCTTCAGAATGACATCATAGCAGATATGAAATGCGGTTCAAAGATCACCGTCTGGGGACGGTATGCGCGGTTTACACCGCTTATCCAATCGTCACTGCAATCAATTATCCTTCCCTTGTAAGAACTGCTAGAGATAATTCTTGTTTACGTATAGGCAACGATACAATTTGATTAAACGGAATCTCAAAAGTGGCTGGTTGAAGTTTGATTGCTGAAACTGCACGCGGAATTTTAACAAATACGTGCAACACTATGTATCATTTTAATCTTCAACATATGACTAGGAGCAGTAACAACTTCCCAAGCTTTAAAAATTACTCAACGAGATAACCCAGCATTCTCGTGCGCGACTCTCTGCGCAAGATTCATGCGCATTATCAAACTATAACTACTATCAACTTTGATAGGTTTTGTGAAATTCTGAAATTCCGTCGTAGTCTAAAATAAAGGTTAAGTGAGAAATGCTGTCCTGAATTCTGGGGAAATTTTTGCCATAACCTTCAGCCAGAGTACCCTTTGATTCAACTGGCTGACGTCTGGAAAGCGGGGCTCCGTGGTCTAGTTAAGGCTTGAGAATGATCAGAGAGCGCGCGCGCGATGGAGACGCAGACTGCGTCGCAGCACCAGCGGCTTTAATTGGGTCCAAAGTCTAGTCTTCCAGCCGCCGATCCAATTGAATCAAAGGTTACATGGCTCTATATATCGAAGGTATGCGCTTAACTGGGTTTAAACTGACTGTACTATCTTTGCGTTGGCATGAGTCTGCTACCGACATATTTGCTCTAGAAGCAGCACACATCGCACCTTTACCATCACATAACTGACTGTCATTGAAGATGCATGATCATCTGTATAATAAAATTGAAACATACATGGCAATGACTCATTAGTAAATGATGTTCTTCATAATGTTGTGGTTTTATTCGTTTTCTTCCTTTATCTGTCGAGTTCTAATAAAGGGTCAGAAAACCAGTCTCTTTTGAAAGTCTAAACAAATTTAGTCAATCAATCAAATTCTCAGAGTGAGTTCATTTCAGTAAACTTCTAATACGTACTTGTTCAAATTGATTCATCAACATAAGAAAGATTGCTGATAGAGTCGCCAGATTGGTGGTAAACCAATAATCAGCCGACTTTGAAGCCCCTAAAAAAGTATTCTTAGGAAAAAATACATAAAATAATCGTAGGACTCTTGTGCCAACTTATACGGCTTTTTTGCTGACAAAATACTTATTATAGTAGACCGGGAATATGGTATGCCACCGTATTCCATATCACGCATAGGCGATTCATAGCATGTAAAGATTACGGAGTTATCGGCGTCTTGATCGCGCTCTTTCGTTTCTCTTACTATCTGCTGTCTCCCTCATGCATGAGCTATTTTGGCCGGACGGAATGGCGCCCAATCTTTGTGTCATGAATTGTGTGTAACTCACTGAAAGCATTATGTATGATGAATCTTACGCACTTTTATTACACACTAGCTGGCTTACCCGGCTCCGCCGTATGTTCCGAATAGAAAATTCCATTTCTTAACCTATCCGAATCAAACTTGGCACACATACACTTCGGGCCCCGGCGGGTGTCACAGTCCACTTTTCGTTATCGATTGATGTCGATTTTATCGATTTTTTGCAAAATTTGAGCTAGAGGGCTGTGATTTGGCACAGGGGGTAATCGAGCATGCTGATCACCCCCACGGGCCCCCCCTCGATTACCCCCCAGCTCAAATTTTGCAAAAAATCGATAAAATCGATAAAAGTAATGCACGATTTTAAAAACTAATGTTGTATTCGTAATCAGCATGCTCGATTACCCCCCTGTGCCAACTCCCAGCCCCGTAGCTCAAATTTTGCAAAAAATCGATAAAATCGATATCGATCGATGACGAAAAGTAGCCTATGACACCCGCCGGGGCCCGTAGTGTATGTGTGCCAAGTTTGGTCCGGATCGGTTCAGAAATGGAATTTTCTATTCGGAACATACGTACAGACAGACAGACATACATACAGACAGACAGACATACATACATACAAACAGACATTCAGCTTTATATATAAGATGGCAATTGACCCGTTTCAGTAAGATTTGATATGCCAAGATCTAAAATTTACGGCTGCCTTTTTTGCAAGCTTAGGGTGCTCTTTACAATCAGATGCAAGTCAACTAGAGATCATAATTTTGCACCAAAGTAACCACAACAAATCATATTTCTCCTTTATTTTAGATAAGCTTGACATGTCATTCGACTCAAATTTGCTCCATTTTTGATCCACGCAAAGTTTTGATCCAAAAACTATAAAGATCCATACGCCCGAAAAAATGAGGGAAATTGTCGTAGCTTCGTTCAAAAACTATGAAATAATGGCCTTTAGAAGTATAATGTAATTTTTCAATTTTTTTACAAGAATTGGGTTACAAGAAATATTGAATGTTGGCAATTAGCACGAAAAATCTGGATAGAGTGAGATACAGTACCAATTAGTTGTACAAGGCTAAAATGTACGGTTGTACTCCTAAAAAGCTATAGTGTACGAGATGTACAATCGCTTTGAGAACAGCTCAGCATTAATTTAACAAATAAAGGGTGTCCCAAAAAATGTTAACACTGTTTGATCATTAATAACTCCGTCGCTTTCATGTCTTTCACCGAGCATGAGGCGTCATTCTGTAGAGCGAGGTTCAACTTAGATTTGCAGTATAAAGCAAAACTTCGACCTCTTTTCGTTGCTATATAATTACGGTATAAACTTCTAGCATCTGGATCCATTGTGAAATATGCCATTTGACAAAAATTTTTCAAATAATTTGAAAAATCGTGGACTAGGGTTTTCGCGCCTGCTAATTCCACTACACAACTTTTTATGAGTGTTTTTAGCCTTTTTGACGGTGTAACCACATTTTGACAAATGCTGGAAATTCATTTATTAAGATTTTCCTGAGATAACCTTGGAAAGAAGCGTCACAGTAAAGTGGAAATTCTATATTTGAAATCAGCGGCTTTCATTACCATAGTGTAACAGTTTTTGAGTTGTTTGATTTTGTTGTAAGGCAGAATATGGCCTCTAATAGCCTAAAATCTTTGTCGAAGTTCCTACCGTATTTCTACAGTAATGAAGAGCGATCGATGATTCGCTCCATACTGTAAATCTAAGCTGAGCTTCACTCTATAGAATGGTGCCTCAAGCTCGGCGAAAGACATGAAAGCAAGGGAGTTATTAACGATCAAACAGTGTTAACATTTTATGGGACACCCTGTATAAGATAATTTCTGTTTTTCTTTCACTTCTAACCGAGAAAAATACAACAGTTGCTCATACAGGGTGCGAAAAAAATGCTGTCCCTCAAAATGAAGAAACTAAATCAGCGGATTCACAGGTTTCTCCTGGTATATTCGACATAGATCTCAAAATGTGAATACATTCTAGCACTTTGCAGAAACTGGCCCCAAAATTTTGCATTTACAATCGAAGGTGGATCCTTGTTCGCAACCCATCCCATATCAAATCTTGCAACTCTCTATTACAATGTAAAGTGAGTGCGAAGATTTTTGAAAAAATTCCGTTTTTGTCCTGGACTTGAAACCCGTGCATGCGGGCTTCAAATGGCCAGTTTCTCATGTGCGGACCACAGCACATGACAGCTCAGATTGCTCTTCTTCTTCTTTAAGTTGCTCCCTTAAGTCGTTCTACATGTTCAAGTCCAAGATACATGTAAGAGGACGTCCTCAAGATAGAAGTATCTTCAAATTCAATTCCGCATCTTTACAAAGGCGTTCTTCAAAAACCAAGGTCCGCATGCATTAACATTCCCATCGGGGAGGGGATCGCAGCTTCAGAAGAAAGCTTCATGTGTTAAAGCTCCAGATATCTGGATTTCACGCTGTCTACCTGTCCGTAAGTATTCCCGCCATCCTTCACTACGAGCACATTGAAGGGAGCAGGAAGCTGTACAAGCCCATTTTCCAGCTTTTTGTATGATCCCCTGATGATCCCCAACTGCCGATCGTCTTTTCTTTGAAGTCATGTTTCTCCCTTCAAAGTTAACGAAAACCTTCCAAAGTTGCATTGATCGTCTAGCACAACAGTGCCAATCATGTTTCTGGTAAAAACAAGTGATGTTTCGAAGTCATGAGATTTGCGATGAAACACAAGTCGAAAGTTGGGGTTTATCGAAAAAACCGATATTCCAAAAATTCATTTGTTCTTATTAGCCACATGCTTAGCACTGCTGGATTAGATAATCAGTACAACTTTGAAAGGTTTTCGTTAACTCTGAAGGAAGAAAAATGTTTAAAAAAAGACGTTCGGCCGCTGGGGATCATCAGGGGATTATACAAAAAGATGGAAAATGCGGTTTGTACAGCTTCTTGCTCCCGTTCAAGATGTTCATAGTAAAGGATGATGGAAGTACTTACGGATAGGTAGGCAGCGTGAAGTCCAGATGTCTAGAGCTTCAGGATATGAAGCTTCCTTCTAAAGCTGTGATCCCCTCCCCAACGGAGATGTTAATGCATGCGGACCTTAAGCCTTCTTCTAATTTAGTCGCAATCCAATCTTCTTTCCTGCTTCGTTTAGTTCCTTCAGCATCGCACCTGCTTCAGTGATACCGCTCGAAAAGAGATGATGTCGTCAGCAAAACGAAGGCTCGACAGGAATTTTCCACCAGCTTGTACGCCTCTCTCGTCCCAGTCCAGTGACTTCATCACCCGCTGCAAGCAGCGGTGAACAGCTCTGGCGAAACAGTGTCATCTTGTCGGACCCTTCCCGAAGCATGATCAGGAAGAGATAGAATATCTGCATCGCTGTTGTACAGTCTTTTTAGCAGTCGGCTATGTCCTCACGTAAGCGAGTTGAGCCACTCCTTGATCAACAAGCGCTGACAGGATGGCGTTAGTCTGGACTCTTTTTCGCAATCGACGAAGGTTAGGACGAGGGTCAGTCGGTACTCCTTGCAGACTTCTATAACTCTCGACGTCTGAATATGTCTGAATATATTTGCTCGAATTTACCCCTGACATGACTTCCTGTTGATGAGCAGCGCACTTCGCAGTTTGTCCATTACGAAATTACAGTGGGGAATGATTTACAAAACTTTTAGCATGTGACATCTGATAGCGAAGGTGGCTCATTTTCAATAGGGGTCAATCGCTTCAGGCAACTCTGGAATGAGAGCAACAAGGTATCAGAGCATGAGTTTACTTTAACACTTTCCACTATGACCAGTGCGAGCCTCCGCGAAGCATAAGTGAAGCACTGGTGGAAGATGAAACGTGATTTCTACATCATCCGCATGCATGAGCTTTGGGGAGGGCGGATGTCTTTAAGCTACTTTGCCGAAATATTATCGGTGGCACTATCGAATGTTCATTCTTAGCATTTTGCGCTTCGAATGGCTTAAAATTGGCAGAAGGGTAGATGACGATGCAGATCGCAAGTGAAGTGATTACTACTTTCCTACAGGATCTCCTTCATTTACTGACTGCTACACACTCAGCAAAGCAGCTAATTATTATAGTTTACTAGCTGGCTTACCCGGCTCCGCCGTATCCGGACCAAACTTGGCACACATACACTTCGGGCCCCGGCGGGTGTCACAGTCCACTTTTCGTTATCGATCGATGTTGATTTTACCGATTTTTATCGTTTTCTTTGCAGAGTTCACCTACAGGGCTAGGAGTTGGCACAGGGGGGAAGTGAGCATGGGGATTCCGAATACAATATTAGTTTTCAGAATTATCGATTGCTTTTATTGATTTTATCGATTTTTTGTAAATTTTGACATGCGAGGCTGGGATTTTGCACAGGGGGGTAATCGAGCATGCTGATCACGAACACAATATTAGTTTTCAGGATCGTCCATTACTTTTATCGATTTTATCGATTTTTTTGCAAAGTTTGACCTGCGGGGCTGGGAGTTTGCACAGAGGGTAATCGAGCATGCAGATTACGAATACAATATTAGTTTTCAAGATCGTCCATTACTTTTATCGATTTTATCGATTTTTTGAAAATTTGAGCTAGGGGGCTGGAATTTGGCACAGGGGTGTTCGAGCATGCTGATCACCCCCCTTGGGGATGATCAGCATGCTCGAACACCCCTGTGCCAAATTCCAGCCCCCTAGCTCAAATTTTCAAAAAATATAAAATAAAAAAAAATAAATTTTCAATATTGTATTCGGAATCCCCATGCTCGATTACCCCCCTATGCGAACTCCCAGCCCCGTAGCTCAAACTTTGCAAAAAAGTCGATAAAATCGATAAAAGTAATCGATAATCCTGAAAACCAATATTGTATTCGGAATCCCCATGCTCGATTACCCCCCTGTGCCAACTCCCAGCCCCGTAGCTCAAACTTTGCAAAAAAATCGATAAAATCGATAAAAGTAATCGATAATCCTGAAAACCAATATTGTATTCGGAATCCCCATGCTCGATTACCCCCCTGTGCCAACTCCAGCCCCGTAGCTCAAACTTTGCAAAAAAAATCGATAAAATCGATAAAATCGACATCGATCGATGACGAAAAGTAGCCTATGACACCCGCCGGGGCCCGTAGTGTATGTGTGCCAAGTTTGGTCCGGATCGGTTCAGAAATGGAATTTTCTATTCGGAACATACGTACACACATACAGACAGACAGACAGACATACAAACAGACATTCAGCTTTATATATAAGATTTTGAGAGATATGTGATATACATAAGAAGAGAAGAGTTAGTAAATTGATGATTGAAGAACTTGGTAAAATGCTAAGTACTTACTACTTTCCTAATGGATCTCCCTTATTCATTTACTGACTGTCACACACTTAGCATGACATCTAGTTATAATTATAATTTATTTTAGAGATATGTGATATACATGGCACTGTCATCCCATCAAATGAGTGCTGTGTGTCATAACTTTGTGGTTTTATTCGTTCTCTTCCCATAAATGTCGAAATCTGATAAAGGGGTCGTGTAGTCCGAATACCAGTCTCTTTCAAAGATCTAAACAAATTTTGGTAAAGCAACTGTTCTTAACTTTGCACCAGTGAGCTTCTTACGCACTTGTTCAAACTGATTTACTATAAACGACTGCTGACTAGAGTCATCAGATTTTACCACGACTCCAATGCCAGCTGTATACCACCAATAATCAGCCGACCAGTTTGAAGTTCCTAAAATGCGTTGATCATGAAATCAACAGCAGCAAAATCGCAAAACGCTCACCAACATATACAGCTTTTTCAGTGACGAAATACTTATTATGGTAGACCCGAGAGTAAGGTATGCTACCGTATTCCATACCAGGTACTTCAATAATCTTGATGTTTATGGAGCCTTTTTTAACACACTTATTATCTGTAATTAGAAATTTACCGAAGGCAATACGTATGATGAACCTTACGTACTTTCATAAACACATGGTAATTGACTACTGATATCGGCCAATGAATGGAGATAGGAAAAGTACTTGGCTGCAGTGTGGGGCCATTTTGAGAATAGAAAACGGACCTGAAACATCAGACCGCAGTAATATGTAGTACAGTATGGTTGAGGCTCAGCTGTTCAAACTTTTGTTAATTCTGAGTATAAATGAAAAAGCTACGAAAGGTTAAAGTTTCACCTTGACTTGCCTATCGAATGCAGCTCTGCGAATAGCTTCGTCTAACTTGCCGAACCATCTAAACATGAGCAGATTTTAGTTAGTCATAAAAGCGTACCGATCACGCTATGATAGTTAGCAATCATTCAGCATGAGTTATGTTATGTTTAGTTATGAGTTATGAATCAAAAACATTCCAATGAGAGTTGTTTGAGGAAAACAATGAGTTTTGTTTCCAATGTTTTCACAAAATCATTACTTTGCAGTAAACCTACTGATTTAATGGTTTGATATAAAGGGTAGAAGGAGCGTAATCCATTACGGCCATGTCCAGACTGACCTGGAACAAGTATAATCTTTACTCATTATTTAACCAGATATCATATGGTTAGCAGAAGCGAAAATCTTTGAATCTAAAATCATTTAACTACCTGCGATTCATCTATAAGCTTCAACATAGCGTCAAGATCATCTTCTCTACCACAGGATTGGAATCCTGGAGGCGAGGCCTGAATGAAATGAGCGTTACTTATGTTGAAGAAGTTGTTTCTATTTTCTATAACAAATTATTTTTACCGTCATGTAAACAGCTTGATCTCCTTTAGATTGCGGCACTGAAGTGGGCCTTTCGTGATAAGCCGGAGTAGCCAAAGAATCGGGCCAACTGGAATAATGGGTAAACGCAATTATCATACAGACTAGACATAACATTCAGTGCTAGGGACTATCATAAATCATACCATAAGCCCGTACATTGTCATTGAAGTTGCGGGTGGTTTTTGCTTTGTGCCGACTATTACCAAATTTCAAGACAGCTTCTAATTACCCTAATTTCACGCGTACAAGGTGCGGGGGATTTTTTTCCAAAATCGACCAGCAAAAATATGCCAAAAGAACTTCGCAATCAAAGGACCCTATGCTTTGCTGTATATTGCTCAAAGAATAGTACAGCATAAGGATCGCTTTCCGAAATAATTTAGAGCGGCTGAGGGGCTTATCAAAAAATCGAAAGAGGTGCGCCTTGTACGCGTGAAATTAGGGTATTTGATGAAAGACTGGAAAAATTACAGAAAGCCCATTTTGAAACAAATTCAAAACCACTTCATTTTCCATCACTACTGCGTCGTTCACTTCTCAAAAATTTTGTATTAGAAGAGAAATGGTGATGTAATAGAAAATAATTAAAAAAATAGATAACTACCGTCGTGAAAGCACTTGCGAGGCTTAAGATTTTGAAATTTCAGAAATAAATACGGCGATAGGCAATTGGCAACACATCCACTTTTTTATATCTAGTTTTACACCGTAACACCTTTTCAGCAAGATCGCAACACGAGAGGTTAGATTATTGCACTCCTCTCTTATCTCCTCAATGGCGGCGAAAGCACGATGATTGTTTCAGAGAAGTAATGAGGGCTTTACGGTTTTTTTTTTGCAAATTCATTTCTTCTTTCTAAGTCATTCTTCTAACAAGGAAAATTCAAAAGTCGCAGTGGCTTGGCATGAGATAGATATCATCTGAAGCAGCTTGAAACGCTGATTACAGAATAGCTTTCCTTAGCTGCAGAGCTAATCTAGATCGGGAGTTATGGGCATTTTATTCATCAAGCTCACATTGTTAGGAGTGTCTCGTAACCGTGAAAATCGTTCGAATGCTTGTTTAAGCGCTACGGCATAATATTGAAGAAGGAGTAGAATTACATAGAGCATTTATAACTGTTTCATCTACGTTTGAGCCCAAAATAAATGCGCCTTGTATTTTTGGATACTCTCAGCGTTGTAAATTTTTCGCAAATCAAATTCAATGACTCCTGACTCAGACTAGGTCTGCAGTCAAAAAAGACTGTTTTGGAATTAGCGTTTCAGGTTGCCTCAGATGATTTCTGTCTGATGTCAAATGGCCACTATGACTTCTGACACTTCCCTTGTAAGATTTTTTTTGCAATCTAATTAGATTTCTCACAAAAAAAACCAGTCACTATCTTAAAACAAGCCTCTTCCACGTTTATGAGGTTTAGAAAATTTTTATCAATCCTTTTCAGGCAGAAAAGAGCCCGCTTGAGCTTACCTCTATCCACTTTACAACTTGGCACCTTAGAGAAATCTTAAGATTTTATGTTTTCTAACTAAATCAAGCGCAAGGTCATTGTTCTTGACACTTTACCTGTTTGGTATCTTTGCACCCGGTGCACCCATTTCCCAATAGATTTCCAGTAGTCTGGTGAGATCATTGGCAAGACATGGACAATTGTAAACTGCTAATCCAAGCTCCCTAACCTATAGTGCAAATGTAACTCAAGCCCACTTTTAACTCAACTAACCTGAGTTAGTGATCTCCAATCGAAATTAGCTGAGCCTACATACATATGCTTGCCATCAACTGCCCATGACTTTGTGTGAAGAATCCCTCCTGGATACCTAAGGTTTGTAGTTTGAAGTTGAGTTCAGGGGGAACAAACTCCGACACTACCATTGGGTAAAATCTAACGATCGTACTTTTATCCTTCCATCCGATGACTTCGCCAAATTGGTAGTCTCGGGATACCCTGAAAGTCCTTATAAAACGACAACTTTTGAGCATAAATTCATTATTTCTCAACGATAACGATATTCAAAAAAGCAGACCATGGCATTTCAAATCCTTTTCTAAAAAACCTTCAATTTGGCAAATCACAGAGGCGTTGTTGTTTCGAAACAAAGCATATCTTACCTCCATCTGCATAAGTCTGCGCAATTTTTACATCAATCCCTCGTTGAGCTGTTTTGAGCAAAGTGTCGTAGATCAACTTCCCCTAAAAAACCATGATAGCTATAAGTTCAGAAATCTGCAAAACTTACATCACCAGAAGTGTTTGTAGTGTCTACCGTGTAATTGTCGCCAGTATTTTCAACCAAGAGTGACCAATAATAGCTACCAATGATTAATTCTTTCTCAGCTTCATCTGCAATAACAGTACTCATCCGAAAAGGACACTGTGCGCTTTAAATTGACATCTGGTACTCACTCATGAGTCTCATCCAGCAGTCGGTTGTTCTGTTAAATATGGGATAGGATGAGTTGAAAGTGAGACCGGCAGGTATTGTTTCACATATCACGAATCTAAAAGACAGTTTGAATAACATTGAGTGAGGTTAAGTGATAGGTCGGTCAACTGCTCACTACCGAATTTAGAAGGTCCGAGGGACTCCCATTTCGAGTGAGCACCTCGACTCCATTTTATTAGGTTGTTGCAAAAATAAAATGCGTTCTGCACATTTCTACTTTAAATAGCTATAACTTTGTCCAGCCTTCATATTTTTTTCATGCAACCATGCAACCAAGGCCCTCAGAAGCAGCAAACCTTCCCCAATCTAGTGCGCACCTAATAATACTGATAACGCAAATGGGAAATAAACTATGCGTCAAAAAACCAAAGGTTTTTCTTTCAAAAATTTTGTCTTCGAGAGATTACAACTCCTTCCAAGTTTTGTTCCTGTGGCTGCAAGTCAGCTCGTTTTGTAGACGCAAGCCAGTAGTATATCTTGGTATAGAAAAGACCTCAACGAAGGAGTTTTGCGAAAAGAAAAGATAAAAATCTAAGATTGTTCATTTTTTTGAGCCTATTTGTGGTAGGCCAGAAAGCCCATAGTTTTTTCTGCAAAAAATTGTAGGCAAGATGTTCTGACCTCAAGCATACAGAAATGAGTAAAGCTTCGGCGATTGCTTGAAATAGAAAAAAATTTTGACCTTTAGAATGCCAGCCAGGGAGTATCTATCTTAACCCATCGATTTCTCAGTCCAGATATTCGATTTCTCAGTCCAGATATATTCGAAAAATTTATTTAAATGTGCAGTAAATAAGCAATATTTATCTCATGCAGTAGTTATTTTTCATGAGAATTCGTTCATTTGCGATTAAATCGTGGCCGAGAAAGTTAAAGCAATGAAAATCCGATTTCGAGTCCGAATGTGCAAAATGGTGATAAAATTCTCACAGACAAGTTAAAAGCTTAACTCCACAGATATTAGGAAGTACATGAAGAGAGCTTTCCAACAATATGCGGAACCTATATCAAAAAGAAAGTTTGGTTGAAAAAACTCGTTCGGAAACAGGCCTAGAAAAACGGACATTATTTTTGCAATAATCTTATAAAAAGATCCACACTATTTATCTACCCTGGGTGTACTATGACGTATTTAAAAATCATAATTGCAATAAATAAAGAAATATATATATATATTAAGTCATTTCAAAATTTCGTTCGCCAGTTTTTTAAAATATCATAACTTCCTTCCTTCTTGGTGGAATTTCCCTTTTTAATTTTTATTTGAAAGAAGAAACCTTTCTCTTTACAATAGTCTCTTTGCCATGAAATAGCATGAGATTGTTCGAGAGTTAGAAGCAATTGAATAAACTTACTCAAGATTGGCATTTTTTAAGCTGGATCACGAAAAATTCCGAAAGTGTTATTATTTGATAGAGAAAATTATGCTCTGTACTTTAGTGCCTTTTCCACGAATTAAAACGAAAAAGATCGAAAGTTACAAGCAAATAAAGAGAATTATTTCAGTTTTGCAGTTTTTGAGCATGCCCAAAAAAGCCCAAAAAAGTCACGAAAAAGGCGGGAAAGCCAAGAACAGGGGTTTTGTTACCTTCTCTTTCTAGCTAAGGGATTTTTGTGCTAAGAAAGAACAGTTTTGATTTTCATGGAAACGTATAGCAGATTCCTAAAAAATCATTACTTTTCATAAGAACAGTCGTTCAACAAGGAGTTTGCCTAGCTAGAAAGACGAGAACATAAAACATATGTTTGTGTTTGTTTCGGTACTTTTTGTAACGTTCTAAGATTTTTGGTGAGCTTTTTTAAAATTACCAAAATTTGAGTGGTCTTTTTTTGCATTTTTAACTCTGCGACTTGTGCTTGGTCCAACGAATTTAAGTTATATTTAGAAACTACACGATTTCTTTATTTTAGGAAAAATTATCCCAGGCAAATCTAGGGAGACAGCAGAGAGTTACGATTTTTTAGAGAACAATGCGAACGAACTTTTGAAATGACCTAATATATGAAATTGTTTGAATAAGTGGATACAAAGACCACGATATATTTCGTTTTAGTTGTGATGCAAACTGATCGAAAACATCAAAGCATTAAATGGTGCTTTTCTGTTACACAGACCATTTTTTTTTTCAAAAAATTTAAATAGTTGGTTCAATCTAGAATATATTGAGGACTGGCTACCTGCCACTTGTCAAGAAAAAACAACAACTTTTTGATCCAGGGCATTTTCTTGGAAAATCATTTCCATTTACGAGAGCATTTGAGAATGAATCGAAAACTATCCAGCTTCTCGGAAAGTTCGACTTTCTATAAATCTCGGCATGATGAATACTGTGTTTATTTGATTGTTTAGCCACGACCGAGATTGGTAAGCTTTTATTTAGGCTAACGTTTCGGCAATAATTCGCCTTCTTCAGAGCCTGAAATGGGCGAAAACTATTTACAGACTACCCGATCAAACATCTCCTCAATCCCACAGGCAAAATTCTAAGCTTTCTTTCGACCACGAGCAGGCTGCCACACGCAGTACTCACCTTTCGTTCGCCGGTAAAGTTCTGGTTTAGTGCGAACGAGTGCTTACTGACCGCTTGAGCAAGGAATTAAACATGTCTTCACATGGTCAAAAGATCTGATTAAGATACGGTGCGAGTTCTCGTGTGATAGAGAGACACTCTTCCTTGCGATTCATTTTAGGATTTCTAAAATGAATCCAAAAGGCTTTTAAGGTTTTGCGAGTGGATGTCTGAGCTTCGCGCGCTAGAATCTCTACTTTCACTTCAAAATCAACTCCTTGATGATCTTGCATTCTGTGGGCGCCCAATGGAGTGGATGTGCGCGATCTCTCTTTACCTTTGAGATGTTCCTTAATACGTATACTCAGAGGGCGTGCCATTTCTCCGATGTATTCGTTGCCGCAATCCTTGCATGATATGAGATATACAACACCCGTACTCATGCAGTCTCCGTCCCTTGCTGTTGGGCATATCGGACAGTTCGGAGTAGGGCAACCGCGGTCGTACATGCGATTCCGCACAAGGATACGTTTCAAATTGTTCGGAGTTATATCTACTACCGAAACTGTATTGTCTAGCCCTGCTCTCCTCAGACACCGCCGAATGGCGGTGCTCACTTCATCGGAGATGAAGGGTATGCCGAAGGGTATCTTTTCTGTTGCGGACGCTCTTGCTCTATCTACAAAGCTCCCCTGTTGGCTCCTACACCGCGTCATGTTGTTTTCATAACCGTTCAATGAAGCTATACTACGCGCCAAGGCTAGTGACTCCGTCTTTTCCTCTCGACCGCTACAAACCTTAGCAGCTGTGCGAAACATATTTCTGACCACAGCTTTTTTAGTATGTAAAGGATGTGCTGAGCGGGAGTGGACAAGGATGTTCTTGTTGCTAGGTTTTCGAAACCACTTCGTTTTCTGGGTCCCACTAGCAATGCTGACTTGAACGTTCAAAAAAGGCAGCCATGCGTTACTAGGTTTCTCCCGAGTTAGTCTTATGTGTTCTGATTGCGCGTTCATCAACTCGAAGCACTCATCAACTTCCGCCTGTGTATTACAAATGATAAAGCAGTCGTCGATGTATCTGCAATAAAGCAGGGGATGCAACTGCAACAGAGGTGTCTCGATTTTGGCCATAAAAATTACCGCTAGGGTAGGAGCCAATCGCTGACCCATAGCCAATCCTCGGATTTGAGCGAAATATTTTCCTGACCACCTGAATATATTGCACTCTAGACACGCTTTTAACAGGGCCATTATTTGCGCGATAGATAGTCCGAAAAGTCTTATGGCTTGTTCATGTTCTATCAGATTTTCACAAACGGCTTGCAATGCAGAGTCATTGGATACATTCGTGTACAACGCGCTAACGTCGAATGACTCCATGGCATGATTAGCAGAAACACGTGACTCACGTAGACGGTCTAGAAACATCTGCGTATTGCTTAGATGGGAAGGGATGAATTGAAGTAGCTGCACTAAGATTTTACTAAGATACCATCCGATCCTATCCGTGGGTCCACCCACGCAACTAATTATAGGTCTGACCTTGAAAGTTGCGGGATCATTAGATGCGAAATCGCGTTCGGATTGGATTTTATGCGTTTTAATGAGAAGGTAAAGTACGGGACAGATTGGCTGATCATTTCTAAGGCGGCTGACGATATCAGGCGCTAGGTTTGCTGCCTTCGCTGTCTTTGTCCATTCTCTGTTTAATTTGCGATATTGCTTCTGATACTCATCTTTCGTAGACAGTTTATATAAAGTGGCATCTTGAAGATGTCCTCTGTTATTGCGATATCTAGATGATGAGGGATCACTACAAAATCGCCGCCTTTATCACTTATTGACAAGCGTATCTCAGCAGCCTCTATCATTCTCTGAATCTGTTTTATGGCCTCTTTCTGCGTTCTGCTGATGTTTGAGTGCATCTTAATTCTACGAAACCTTGCTAGAGTTCTAAAAACATCGTCAGCAAAAAGACGAAAGTTTGCGTCAACGCCAGGATTCGCATCCTGCTGTTTGAAGAACATTCGCGGGAAAGGTATTGGCAGCCACGCTTCACATCGATCCTTCATTCGCGCATCCACTCTCAGAGTTTTGCCCTTTTACGGAGCTTGTCTTGAAGTTCTTGTAGAGCACAGGTAAACTTTCGTAGAACCGGTGTAGAGATGGATTGTGATGGCGAAAAAACTGGGACCCATCTCTAACAAACAACGCGCATTATCAGGAAGCTGAAACCCTCTTATCACTGTTACTCGCGATGGCGTAGAAATTTGAAGACATTCGCTCTCGTTTTCAGTTTCGCTCTCAGTTTTATTCGAAAGGTTCATTGTATCGGGTCTAGCAAGGTGTAAAAGAAGGAATTAAGATGCACTCAAACATCAGCAGAACGCAGAAAGAGGCCATAAAACAGATTCAGAGAATGATAGAGGCTGCTGAGATACGCTTGTCAATAAGTGATAAAGGCGGGCGATTTTGTAGTGATCCCTCATCATCTAGATATCGCAATAACAGAGAGACATCTTCAAGATGCCACTTTATATAAA